AATACATCTGGAAGGTCACCAATTAGGGACGGCTGCTATAATTCTAGGCCCAAATTTTTTTAGAATCAGTATTCCCACCTCAATAGCACACACAGACAACAAACACGCACGTTTTTATTTTTAAATGAATTGATCAATATTTTTGAGAGGGGAAACTTGCAAGAAATTTTGCAAGTTTTCCCCGAGTATAGAAATGGTATAGAAAAACTGTTCTTGGGCAGGGGGTTGGACTAGAAGACCTCCAAGGTCCCTTTCTATGACTAATGTGGACAAGGCTAACAAGAGCCAGTGTAGTGTACAGGTAGTACTCAACTTGCAACTATTCCTTTAGTAAATGGCACTGAAAAATGTGACTTACAACCAGTCCTCGCATTTACAACCAACGCCGCGTCAAAAGTTTGATTCTTGGGCATCTGGCATAGTATTTCCCAACGGTTGCAGCATCCTGAGGTGACGTGATCTGCTTAAAGGCCATATGATTTACTTGAGCGGCACAAAAAAAAAAAAAGTTGTTAAATTGGGTGTGACTCACTTAACAACCGCCTTGCTTAGAGATTCTGGTCTCCGTTGGGAGTTGGAAGCCGAGGACTACCAGGAGTTCACCAACACAAGTGTTATTTGTCTAGGGAAAGGCACTCTTGCTATCCAGCACGCTCATGCTTTCACACCGTGGCACAAGCAAACACAATTAATCATGACCCTTCCCTGGGTTTTCTTCCAGACAATAGGAGGGCCACAGCCAAAAGTGCTAAATTCCAGAGATCTTTAGTGAAAACAAATGCCATGTTTCCTCAGAAACTTTTAACGGGGCCTGGGCTCCCTCCACTTCGCCTTCTCCTCCCGCAGAAACAAGACTCAGCCTCTTGTCAGCTCCGAATGGACAAAAATGGACTTACAAGGCAATAAACAAGCAGAGATTCACACCAAGCCCTGCCTTTCAGCCCAAGGATGGTTTCACTTTAGGGAGGAAAAAAAAGGGGGGATGGGGGGAGAAAGAGGAAGGAGGGGAAAATGCTGAAAAAATTCCTCAGAGTAAATTGAGCAAAAGTATTTCTACCCAGGGGGGTGAGGGGGAGGCTGGCTGATGAATATAAAGTCTTTTGGAGGGTGAGGAGTTCTCCGCTTGTTATGGGGTTTAAAAATTCCCCGCTCCACCTGCACGTAGGTGGATTCCCCTCACACACGTGTGCAGGCTAAGGATTTTACACCACTATTTTAATTAACCGAGGAAGCAGCAGCAAACCGACGGACATGTTTTCTCCTGTTATGCCAACAGCATCCCATGTAAAAGGCAGCAAATACTTTTTCATCCCCTTACATCCACATCTCCATTTTGTTTTTCTTACAGGTAACTCTTTCGACTCGCAACAGTTTCTTTTAGCGACCGTTCAAAGTTACAACGGCACTGGAAAAATGTGACTTGCAACTGTTTTGTCACGCTTACGACCTCTGCAGCATCCTCACGATCACATGATCAAAATTCAGATGCATGGCAGTTGGTTCATACATACGACCGTTGCTATGTCCCAAGGTCATGTGATTTCCCCCCCCCTTTTGCGACCTTCTGATCAGCAAAGTCAATGGGGAAACCGGATTCACTTAACAACCAGGTTACTAACTTATCAACTGCAGTGATTCACTTAACAACTGAGGCAAGAAAGGTAAAATGAGGCAAAACTAACTTAACAAATGTCTCACTTAACAACAGAAAGATGAGAACTACCTGTCTTTGTGTGATGGAAGGTAACATTCCCATCCACCTTTTCTCCAGAAAATTAAGCTGACCAACTTTTTTCTCCAGATTTTCCCAACAACAACCCTGTGAGGAAGATAGGGCTGAGAGAGTGAGGGACTGGTCCAAAGTCAGCCATTTAACTTCCTCGGCTGAGGGTGGACTTGAATCTGGCTCTTTCTCTGGTCTCAATCCAACACATTATTCAATATATCAGACTGGCTTTTTAAAAGTGAATTATATTCTACCGTGCTACCATCAATTTTCTCACAACAACCATCCTGTGAAGTAGGTTGAGCTGAATGAATGAAAGACTGGCATAGGCCCCTCAGGCAGATTCTGCGGCTCAGGCGGAACCAGAACTTCGATCTCTGCTCCTTCTTGAACATCGGATCTATTACAGGTAGTCCTTGACTTACGACCACAATTTGAACCCAAACTTTGTTGCTAAGCAAGACAGTTGTTAAGTGAGTTTTCTCCCATTTTATAATCTTCCTTACCAATGATTAAGTGAATCATTGCATTTCTTAAAATAGTAACACAGTTGTTAAGTGAATCTGGCTTCCACACTGACCTTGCTTGTCAGAAGGCCGCAAAAGGTGATCACATGACCTCAGGACACGCAGCTGTCATAAATACATGCCAGTTGACAAGCACCCAAAATTTTTATCACGTGACCATGGGGATGCTGCAATGGTCATATGTGTGAAAAACAGTCATAAGTCACTTGTTTCAGTGCAGTAACTTCAAACAGTCACTAAAACAAATGGTTGTAAGTCGAGGACTACCTGTACACTAAACCGGCTCTTATTAGCCTTGTCCACATTAGTCATAGAATCATAAGGTTGGAAGGGACCTTGGAGGTCTTCTAGTCCAACCCCGTGCCCAATAACAGTTTTTCTATACTAAGAAGTATCTCTTTGCTCGAAGGTCATTCTAAACCACAATTATGGGTAAAGATAGTCAGGATCTCTAAGATGCATATACCTTATAGGTATACCTGCACAGAAGCATGGGGGGGAGAGGGGGAGAGAGAAGTGTACCATGCTGCAGTAGTGACTGCTTCCACCTGTCCTCTCTGAAAAATTTGGAGGAAGGGAGGGCCATCTACAGTTTCAGTCAACTGCATTCCCACCAATGTCCTGGGAAATAGCCAAGGATTTAACATTCACTGCAGCTAAAACCCACGAATCTTGGTGTTTAAGCCCTGCTTGACTATGATATGATACAAGCAAAGTTCACAATACGATGTGAAATTTGCCTGTTTCTAGTTTTGCACATGGCATGAACACAAACTCTGTGTCTTTAAAACCATGGTTAATAGCTCCATGTTTGAGAGGGAGCGAAGCCAGGGTATCGCCATGATCTAGCACTATAAGGAGAGGTGGGCGTTTCAGTCTCCTGCTTCAGAGAGACTTGCCATGAAGATAAAAGATTGAGGGAAAAGCCATGTCCTAGGAGGTGCTGCTCATAAAAAAGGCTTGAAAGATAATAAAATACTGCACCAGAATACTGCAGAAGGAGAAGCCACATTTAAAGAGGAAAAAAAAAAGCTGTCAAAACTATACTCGGCAATGAAGATGCACACATTTCCCCAAACTTAAACAGTCCGGGTAGCCCGAAATGCAGCTCCAAATACCAAACTGGTTAAGTTAAGAAATCTTCAGTTAGGCTTCATTCAAGCCACCTCCATATTTATTCCCAATTCTAAAGTGCAGTTTTCCCAGCCATCCCCAAGCCTGGAAGGCCTCCTGTTCTTTTTAAACACTCCATAAAAGTCAGGCTGAGAGGCAAGACATTCATTCACCAGATGCCTTTTTTTTTTTTTTTTTTTTTGCAAGCTGCCACCACACTACATCAGTTGAATTTCCACCTGTCCCTGTTTTCCAACTGTTAAGTGGGAGAAAAAAAAAAACCCAAGTCAGGAGCAACCAACACACACAGCTACCTCATTATAATCTAACACTTTCTCCGGCAGTAATGTTTTAACAGTCCAATGAAATACATACAAGTAATACTTTCTCCCAGGGCAGGATTTGCATTTTTTTTAATATATATGTGTGTGTGTGTGTGTGTGTGTGTATATATATTATATATATATATATATATATATATATATATATATATAGAGAGAGAGAGAGAGAGAGAGAGAGAGAGAGAGAGAGAGAGAGAGAGAGAGAGATAATATATATTTATTTATTTATTTATTTATTTATTCGGGTGTCGCAGAAGCCTCTCCAAGGCGCAGTTCTGAGGGGGGGAAAAATAACCCTTTCAACTGCAATGGGATCACGTTCCCAAACCACTGCGGGAAAACAGCCTCAGCACACCCAGCCTACCAAAGGGAAAAAAAAACCCCTACCAAGTTCGCGGAAGCCCCCCACCCCACCCCCAGGTAAACGTCCTGAGGCCCCTCACGGTAGTCCCGCCGATATTTCTGAGGCTCCCCCCACCCCCAGCCGCCTTCCCCGCAATTCCTGAGATGACCTTGGACTGGCTGGCTAGCCGCAATCTCCAGTCTGATCTCCCGACACGGAGGGGGCCTGACTTTGACGCCAAAGCGCTTCGGAAACGCACCCCTTTTCCTTCTTTCCAGCCCCCGCTTCTTCCCGAGCGAAGCCTGGAGTCGGGAATCAGGCTGCAAAAAGGGCCGCGCTCGCCCCTCCTGCAGCAGCACTGCCTTCCCCAGGGAGACCCCAACACACACACACACACACAATCCACTGGTGGGACCCTCACCAGCCGTGCAAAAAAAAAAAAAACAGCCAAAGGAAGAAGCCCCCACCCAGCCACCCAGCCCTTTCCACGTCTCCTCGGGTCCATTGCCTGGGCAGGAAAAGGGCCTGGCCGCCTGGCGTCCGAGCGGGAAGAAAAACTTGGAGATGGCTTCGGAAGTTGCAAGCGCGAGGCCGGCAGGCTCTCCTGAGCGCCTTCCTTCCTTCCTTCCTTCCTCCTTTTTCCTTCTTTCCTTCCTCCTTTTCCTTCGTTTCCAAAGCTCTGGCCAGCCGGGAAGTGCGGGGACTCCCCCGGCTTTTTGCTGGGTTTTCTGGTTTTGGTTTTTTTTTGTTTTGCTCCGGGCTTGTCCGCGCACACTGGCAGGCTGAACAAAGCGGATGCCTTGAATTCCTTCCCAGCCCAGCTCGGGTTTGGCAGCGCTTGGAAGCCCGGATCGGCCAGCAGGAGGAGGAGGAGATGCAGCCCCTCGCCGACGCTTCCCCCAGCCCACCCGGTGCCCACGCTGTCCCCCACCCCCCAGCCCATGCCTTACCGGTCCTCCTCCCCAGCGCCGCCGCCGCCACTGCTTTCCCTTCGGCGCGGCGCGCAGGAGCCCCAGGGCGCCCCAGAGTTTCTTCTTCGCCTTCGTCTTCTCCCCTCCGCTTCCCTCCTAAAAGGCCCGGCAGGAACCGCCGGCTCTGCCCGCCCCGGCTGCCCACACTCCGCGGCAGGGGGGGGGCGGCGGCCCGCTTGGAGTTGCTGATCCGGCCCCGCGGACTGACTGGCTGGCGAGCTGGGGCTTCTCCTCCCGACAATGAGAGGCGGCGAGGAGCCGAGAGAGCCGGAGCCCCTGCGGGCGGGCCTGACGTCAGGAGGCGGAGGCAACGGCCGCGACGCCTCGCTCTCCCTGGACGCGAGCCCCCGAGACGCCTTCCGCCCGCCAAAGGAGGCGGGAGAGTCCCGGCCGGACACTCGGCGCGGCCTTCCTCTGGCAGCGGAGAGGCCGGGCAGCCTGAGGGGCCGCGGAATCTTGTGGAGGGAGCCCAGCGAGGGACGGGAGTTTGGCTCTCCCCGTGGCCGCGGAGAGGGCGCGCTCGTGGCTCGGCCCTCGGCTCAAGCCCGCGTGGCCCGGCCCGTGTCCACTTGGGTGGGCGTCGTTGTGTATATATATATGTGTGAACGCAACGAGTTGGGTCACTTGAATTCCCCCCCACCCGAGTTTAAGTTTAATATATATAATAATTAATATATTTAATTATTATTTAATTATTAATTATATATTAAATGTATAATTTAATGTATGATTAAATATATAATTTAATATATAATTCGCTCAGCGACCGGATCCGTATATATTAATTATTAATTATATATTAAGTATAATTAATATATACAGATCCGGTCGCTGAGCGAACCTGGTTGGCTTAATGTTACTGCTGTTGGCTGAGTCCAGTTAGTCTAAGGTTTAGGCCAGGGGTCTCCAACCTTGGCAACTTTAAGCCTGGCAGACTTCAACTCACAGAATTGGCTGGGGGATTCTGTGAGTTGAAGTCTGCCAGGCTTAAAGTTGCCAAGATTGGAGACCCCTAGTTTAGACTGCGGATTTGAGGAACTTCCCGTCTTACGACGGTATGGAAAAAAGTGCTCTGATTTTTCAGCCCATGTGGCCAGAGAAGAGGAAAAAGTAGGATTAGGTCAAAGGGGAGCTGATTTACCCCTGGTTTCGAAGGTTATTAAAGTATATAAACTAATGCATTAAAATTGCCTGTAGATATTTTTTTTTTATGATTCTTTATTTTATGATGCCTTTCCCTGTTTTGGGCAATACATGAAAGGCCCCCACCAACTCTCTTGAGCAAGGAGTGAGGAGTGATTTACAGCAAAGGAAACATCTTAACTAAAAGATCTTGGAAGGCAGCTGATCATCAGGACAGACAACATCAGTCAGAGCAGACAAATCTGATGTAGTAATCTTTAAAAATTCGCTTCCAGAGGCCTAGGAAAAGGGGTTAAAACAACAATAATTATATTGCTCAGGTGTGTAAGCTTACTGTTTAAAAAAAAACAATAACTTTTTTCCCAATTATTTAGACTATGCAAAAGACAGTTATATAATAAAAGCAACAAAGTTATTGTATTGTTTAGACAATTACATAGAAAGGGGTAACATAATGTATTAAGGGCCTCATTTCTGCCATATTGCTAATTTGGCCAAATATCTTATTCTTGTTTAATCTGGATGTTTTTAGTGTTTTTGTGTGTTGTTAGTGTTTTAATATGTTTTAGTATTTTTAATTGTAATGTATTTATTTATTGTAAAGCACCCAGTCATTGACTGAGGTAGGCAGCTATAGAAATTGAATAGATAAATTTCATTGCAAGAATGTAATGGTTTGGTATTTAATTTGGTACGTAACTGGTGAACGTCATTGTATTTCTTTGCAGCCACATAGGATCACTGTTTATTAGAGACATTGACTAGAAAGTAGGATAGTTATTAAATAGGAGTACCTCTAAACATGTGCAGAGTTCACATGTATAGTTATTGTTTTGTAATTTTTTTAAATCCTCAGGCTGATATTTAGCACTTATTTTAAAAAGCATTTAAATCTTCAGGTTGACATTTAGTACACATTTTAAGAAGTCAGCGTTTTCAAGACAGAGATTCCATTTTTGAAATGCTGAGCCTGTTTAATACAATACATATACTTGACATTTCTTCTTTAGAGATATTTACTTTCCTTAAGAGATCACAAGGAGGTATGCCATTGTACAAGTTGTCACTCTGCCAGTACACAAAAGGAATTAGACTGTGGTTTTAAATACATGCTGATTAATCCCAAATAGGCAGGTATAACCCATGGTCAGAATCTAAGAGAGGGGAGGGTGAGGGGGCCTTAGGGAGGGGGACAGGGGAAAAATCTGTATTTGAAAAACTTTTTCAATAAAAAGAATCTAAGAAAGGGTTTTTTCTGGTTGGCTAAAAAAGGCAAAGATAACTCGATAACAAACATTAGTCTTATTAGCGTCACTTTTTCCATGGCTGTTATTGACTCCGTGACTAACTTTTCCCCATGCGTTAAAACAATTGTGTTAGGTTGTCTTGCTTTTAATCTTCTTGACGCTAACCACTAAGCATCTTCACTTTACCTACTGTAGTTCTTAGCCACCCCAGTGGGGTTCCTGATGTACAAGGAGAAGCAGAGCCTGGGGTGGGGGCAGAGTCGAGAGGAATCAGTCTGGAGTCCTTACGTTCCCACAAGCAATCTAAATTCAACCCTTTTTGAATTCTTGTTACCTCTTATCTAGCACCAATTTGGTGCTGACCGTAAGTTGACTAGATTCTTGTGTACAGGCAAGAGCAATAAATCAGCTTAACTGAAATTTAATGTGTGGTCCTGATTCACACCTGACACCCAACATCAAAAGCTTGTCCACACCTGTCCTAGAGGTGTTTCGGCACTATAATGTGTAAAGTAGTGTGTGATACATTGAGAAGGGGCATTTTACAAACTACTGTAGGAAGTTAGCACCCACCCCTCTCCTAGGAAAATGAGATATTTTAGGAAATAGTTTATAGTTTATTGGATTTCTATACCGCCCTTCTCCCAGGGGACTCAGGGCAGAATATTTCCCCTAAAAGGGAGGCAGAATATTTCCCCTAAAAGGGAGGCAGAAACTCAGCGCCCCCCCCCCCCCGCCACCTTTGTCAATGGGCCATTAAGGCCTGAGCCAGTTATTCTACATAACAAAGATCTACCTTCTTCAGGCAGAGCCATAATAGGAATTGCCCAAAGCCCTTTCATTACATCATCACCCAGCAAGAGTCAACCAAGCCTGGGACTCAAAAGACAACCTACAAAGTGACCCCTGCATGGCCCCATGGGAGTCTGACAACCAATCAGAACACAAGCTCAAATTCAAAACCCAACAAAGGGTATAAAACCCAGGCACTCTCAGCATCTCTTCCCTTTTTTCTGCCCAGGATCTCAAGCCATATGACCCTGTTCATCAATAAACCTTTCCAAGCAACTTCCATGTTTTCAGTGTCTTTCTCCCCACTTGGAACTGTACCCAGATGGACGTTTCTTCCAACACTATAATGCCAGCTTTTCCTCAAAGCATTCTCTTGAAGGCTTAATATAGCTGCTACACAGTCTCCTTAATGGGTATCCATGTGTGGGTGGTGGCCCAGCTTCATTAATGATTCCAGTGCAAATGTCGCCTATTTAAGTCTGAACACTTCAGATGAAAAAAAAAGCTTGCAAGGCAATGGGATGCTTAATCTGGCAATTATCTTTCCAGATGTGAGAACTTGTCCTTTTAGATAGGTTCGGGTTGACGTTTAATTCCCATGTTCTCCAATGCTAAAAACAGGTTATATCGTATGTGGGGAAAGAATCATCTTATAAGCTCAATATTGATACAAAACCAAGAAAGCTTAAAAATCTGACTTGGGGTGCAATCCTCTCACAGATTAATTCAAAACATCCTGTGCACAGCCTAGTAAATACATTTCCTGTCATCAAGGATTGGATGTTGGTGCAATCAGATTACTCTGATCCAAGTGCAGGGGTCTGCAACCTTAAGCATTCAAAGAGCCATTTGGACCCATTTCCCACAGAAAAGAAAATACCGGGAGCCACAAAACCTGGGTGGGCGTGGCCAACTCGATGTCACTCACTTCCACCAGTCACATGACCGCCCCCAGCCACGCCTACCCAGCCGGTCATTAGGGCAGAGAACTAGTTATTAAAAAACACCAACCCTTTTGACATATATCTCCCCTCCCTCCCTCTCCCCCTCTCTCTGCATCTCTCTGTTTTTGCCCTGGCCGCTTCTCCATCCCCTGTCGCCCTTACCGTCTCAGGCCAGGCAAGGAGGGGAGGGTGAGGGGCGGGGCCAGCCAGTGGTGAGATCACCTGACAGGGAGCCACAGCAGAAGGCCCAAAGAGCCGCATGTGGCTCCAGAGCTGCAGGTTGCTGACCCCTGTCCAAGTGTGAAAAAGAGTTAGCAGCAGTCTTAGGATAAACGTATGACAGGGGTGTCAAACTCAAGGCCCGGGGGCCAGATCTGACCTATGAGCTACTTAGATTTGGCCCACGGGCCTCCCTGGAAACAGTGGACCGGCCTGTGGTGCTTCTGCCAGCTAAAACGTTTTCACTGACAGAGGGTTGCAGGAGTCCGTGGCAGCCAAAAACAAAGCCCCCAACACGAGTGATGTCAAGTTAGCCACACCCACCCTGGCCACGCCCACTCTATCCCCCCTCCCCCATCAAACACAACCTTGATGCAGCCCTCAATGAAACTGAGTTTGACACCCCTGCCTTAGGATAATCATCTCACTAAGCTTAATGTAACTCCAGCATTAATTTGGCTTTTATCATGGTATAGCTGACTAAGAGAGAAGGAAGGTGAAAAATCAGAGATGAAAAACCACCTGGTCAGCAGGAATCCTGCTTTTTGTCTCCACCACTGTGGGGGCCCTTCGATCGAAAAGAACGCTTCTCTGAAGCTTCAGGAAGTCCTACAACAGGGATATCCAACCTTGGCAACTTTTTTTATTTTATTGTCATTGTTTTAACTGGGTTTTAATTACGTTACCTTTTATTATTGTATGTTTTAACCTGTGTTCGCCGCCCTGAGTCCTTAGGGAGAAGGGCGGCATATAAATTTTTGGAAACAAATAAAATAAATAAATAAATAAAATCTGTGGACTTCAACTCCCAGGATTCCCTAGCCATCATGGCTGGCCAGAGAATTCTGGAAATTGAACTCCACAAGTCTTAATGTTGCCAAGGCAGAAGACATCTGCCCTGAAATGTGCTTTTTGCAT